ATTTTAGTGCTTAGAAATGGGAAGTGAGTGAAACAGAGCCACACATTTAGTTACATTAAATCAATGTACTGTTGACAAAATGAACACTCAATGTATAATAAGCATTTATATTTACTTTTTAATATACTGGTGAAATTGTAGTGCATTAATGTTTCTAAATATTTTGTTGCTCTTTAAAACTACTAAATGATCCTAAAGGATGGCTCATTTGTATCAAATTTATCAAAGCCTTCAACATTTAAAATATACTGTTTGTTCTTTTATTTAACTTTACATTTAAAAGGTACACATTTCCTAAGGTGAGAGTTTCTAGGCATTATTTCATTTTAACACAATGACTCAACTCTTTTCAAACATATGAATTCTTTTGAAAAAAATGAAGAAATACATAATGTGGAAATTTAGCCATTTCATGCCTTAATTCACTAAAATATGCTGATTCTTTGTTTTTTTTTCATTTCCTTTCTTTGTCACCTATTGAGACAAGCATAGCTGGAGAAGAATAAAAATACATCAACTAGTTGTACCAATTCATAATCAATAAAAAGCTAAACACTTGAGTAGAAAATATGTTACAGATTTGTGCCCTACCAAAGCAGCTATTTTTACCTTGCCATCATCATTAGAAGCTGCATTCTGACAAAAATCATTTGCTTGAAGCAGCCGTGATATAAAACCCTATGTGGTCTTGTGATTCAGATTTAGGAATATCAGCCTTGGAGGGTCTACAGGCATTGTGCATTAGTATGTATTGAGACCTCATTCCAGGTGGCAAGCAGCTGGACTTTTTAAAAATAAAACTTCCAAAATAAAGGTGAAGTGCTTGTTTTCAGGCTATGCATATTACATTTAATCTAATCATCCTCAAAATGTTATAAATTAGGCAAAAAGGAGAGTTGTGCATATTTAATATATTTGTTTTGTATTTCCACTAGTCAACAGAATAATGAAATTCCTTAACTACTTCTCTTTAACTTGCATGAAGAAAGCACGGTATGTTGCTAAATCTCTTTTCACCAGCTCTGCGGAGAAACAACTTTAATCCTTGTTAGAAAATTGCCGAGTCTGGGACTGACAAAGAGCTCATGCTTGTTCTATTGTTAGTGCTCCCCGGCCCCAAGAGCAGAGCCCTTTACAGCTGCGTGGATCCCGCCCGGCTCAGCTGCACTATTTAGGAGAGGAGGTTTGTCAATTTCTATTGACAATGGAACGAGTTTTTCAGGGCCTGTAGCAGTGCTGACACAGTTGGGGATCAATGCCAGCCATTCAGACTGCACCCTCTTTCATTGCTTTGGTTTGTTAATTCAAGACTAAAGGTCCACTGAGGGGGTTCAGGGTGTTTAAGAAAGCTGATGAACTGTTTAAGAAAGCTGATGAACTGCAAGCGTTTATAGCCCTGGTGTGGCAATTTCCATAGTCAGTGGCAACTCCTGGCACTGAGGGAGCTGTGTCCTTGTTGACCCTCTTGTTATTAAAAATGCACAAGTGCTGCGCTTCTCAATATTTCAACACTCTTTCATTGTCAATACCACCTTCTGAGCCCTTCAGCTTGTTGCTTGCTCTAAAGATCTTCTTAGATTGGGTTTGAAAACTTCACCTTAAACACTAGATTAGACTGATGTTCTGTTTTCCGTGCTCCTGTTGATTTGTTGAACCTTCCCAGGGCTGGAAAGCAAGTAGCAGCTTGATGGGGAGACGGGCTGCTAATATGATTTACCAGTCTACAGTCATGCACAATAAGTGTGAATAAATACAGGGGTCTCACAGAGTCAACCCTAGCCTTTCCTTTTCTTCTATTTTTGCTTTAAAAGATATCTCAAGAAAATGAAGTGAGTAACGCATGCCCTTACAGGAGTTGAATGAACCACAAAAAGAAGAAAGAAAAACCATATTTTTGCCAAAGCGGTAGGCTGCTGTCATGGACTGATGTAGAAAAAAATTGTAAAATATACACTTACTGCTTTATTCCTGTGTAGACCGAGGCAAAGAATAAAGCAGTGATGCCATACCCATACCTTCTGTGCAAGCTCCTGCAACCCTTCCTTTTCATCCCCTGAAGGGAAAAGTGAATGATCAACCAAGCTGTTTTATAAAATTAACTTTTCCAAAGTGAAAAGACACTTTCTAACATGCAGACTTTACTGTACATTCATGCTTTTCCAATTTTTCGTTTGGTTTGGTTTGGTGGAGGGGATTGAGGAATGAAGAGAACCTACCTTTGACCTTTTTCTCAGTGTGAGAAAATGGGACCTACCATATTCAGTACTCAAAAGAACGACATATTAATTCCAGCACCAGAAATAAGAAAGTGCTAGAGGTTTCTCTTTGGTGGCTTTGTTTGTTTGAGAGGTGTGTGTGTGTGTCTGTGTTTTACTGTATACAAGAAAGCAGTCATAGTGGGATTTTTGTTATTGTTAGCCTGTTCTTAGTGGCAGCAAATATTCTGAGCTAAGTTACTGCTTTTCCTTAGTCATTTGCTTTATTTAGCTAAAATGCCTCTTGAAAATGCTTTGACTTAGGAATAAAAAATACACATTCTTATTTGATAGAATAATTTTTCCTAGAGGCTTTTGCTTATAGAATGATTTATTGACCTTCAAAGTAAGATGATGATAAAGTAGCTTAAACATTTTACTTAATAATTGTTCTCTTTTTCTGTTTCTACAGTTAATTTTAGATCACTTTATTCCCAAATTCGTTTTCTCTAAAATTATCATTTTGGCATTGTATTAAATAAGTTATATATAAATGATTTATGTCCTTTCAATTATCACTTGATAAGTCTCATTATATGTAATGGGAAAGGGGAAATTAATTTTAAATTATATAAGGATTTTTAAAAACATAAAGATGCATATAGAGTAATTATAAGAAAGTTTTCTCATTTCCCTCAAATTTATACAACTTACCTTGAACACGATAACTGCGCAGTCTAACAGAGTAACTAGTATGTTATGCTAGGCTTCGTAAAATACATATACTTTCTTCTATTTTTGCTTTAAAAGAGATATCTCAGGAAAATGATTTGAGTAATGTATGCCCTTACAGGAGTTGAATGAACCACAAAAAGAAAAAAGAAAAACCATATTTTTGCTTAAGCAGTAGCTTTAAAGCAGTTGAAAAAAAGGAAAAAAATTCAACAAAAAAGAAAAATTTACTAGCCCTTGCAAAATGACTATAATGTTTAAGAACCACTTCCACTATGACAATATTGTCACTTTCAAATTATCTAGAGTGTGGTGTGGGGGAAGGGCCTAAATTGAAGGTACTCATTCAATATCACCAATCCTTGTGAGTGTTTACCTGTATTAAAATAGAACTCAAGAAGCTGAAGCTATGAATAATTTGAAACAAGTATAGAATTTTATTTCAGAAATTGTATCTATAAAAGATTTTGAGATTTAACGTACCAGCAAAAGTACTGAATTTACTAGAAGTTTACTTTTTAAAGAATTTTGGAGCATGAGTGTCTTGTTTTATGAAACTTATTGCGGAAATTTTTACATGTCCTGAATATTAAGAAAGTAATCATTAGGAAGGACCAATATTAGCTACAGGAATAACATATTTTTTAAGAAATCGTAGTTCATCTCACATTTTAAAAACTTCAAGCTTTTATTTATCCATTTGATTGTTATTTAGTAAATCGTTATCCATTTAAATTATCTCATGGTATGCATTACATGTTCATTATACTAACAAATTAATAGAAAAAAGCATGGTAAAATATAAAATTTATTTTTTATTTTTACTTAAAGTATCATTTCTTATTAAACTAAATCGTATTAGAACAATGTTATTAAATATAAATCCAGATGAATTTCAGACTTGGATCCCTGAGAATTTATTTTAAAAGTTGAATTTACCATTTTATTATGTTGAGAAAATATTCTTCTAAATTTGTTTTTCTGTGTTTAAATTCTTAAGAACCTATGCACGCACATATGTGATCTGCACTGTCACTATGTTTGTGTATACAAGTAAGGCACAAAATCTCCTGTTTTTCAAAAATTCTTTTGTCATTTCCTAAATGCTGAGTGGACATTGATATTTCTCACTGTTATCTGAATGAGTAGCACTAGAGTGTTATCTAAACCTAGCTCTGAATTACTGTATCCCTTAAAAATGTCATCTGTAATGGCAGATTGTTTTCTTTTTTTGAAAATAGGAACAAATTTTTTTTACTAGACTGACAGACATAGGAGCAGAAAATTGCATTAAAGAAGAATTTCAGTTCTTTTCTTAAGAGGTTTGTAATAAACTGAAAAATTATGGACCCTCCAGAAACACAAAATGAAACACATCCTTTTCATTCATAATTTGGTCAACTGATACCTATTTTGTGATTCTTACAAGAATTCAATTTTGATAATGTTCCCTCCTAAGATACCAATAAATCTTTATTTTAGGTAGTTTTAAAAGAGCTTAGTAAATACTTAACTGATAAAGGTGTGATTGAGGATTACTGTTTAGAAAGTTGTTGATTTTTTTTTTTTTTTTTGGCCATTGCTCCTTTAAAATGTAATTTTTAGGTATTGACTACGTGACTTATAGCATAACACATCTTCGTTTTGATTGTTCCTTAACATGTAGGCTAATAGACAATTTACCTTTGAAAATAATTTACCTCTTTTTTCTTGCTGCTTGGCTGTCCATTCAGTCCTATAACATGTATTTAGGATCCATTGTTACCCACAAATTACAAAGCAGGCCACTAGGCTGCAAAGTGCAAAAACACTGTTTCCATGAATATGTTACAGCTGAAAGACTGTAATGTTAATTCATTTAAAGAACAGCCTAGGTCAACTTAACAGATTTTCTAGCAAAGCATACAATTCTGTTAACAGGAATTATAGCATTATTGACTTCAAGTGCTGATCTGTGGTCATTTCGGAGTGTTTCATTACCCCCTCATTACCGAATCTGTTAAATGAATACTGCAGAGGTTGTTTCCTTTTTTTTTTTTTTTTCCTCCTCCCCTGTGCCCTAATTCTTTCCAGCAATGGTACAGCAGCTCCATAAAAGTCATTTGCCTGTGGTTGACTGATAGACTAGACCTCCAGCTCCATATTTACCAGCTGAAGACGCTCATCAAGATTGTGAAGGTAAACAAAATGTATTTAGATGTGAATTACCCACCAAGCTATAAGGAATAATGGCAAGATACTGACATACAAGAAAGCTGTATTTGATGAAACTAAAAAGCATCACTTATTAGCAACGATGTGCTCCTCTTTACTTCCATTTTTAGTTATATTACTAAATAAACATAAATGTATCTTTTTTGCACTAATAAATATTTGCTAGCAAATAAGCACAGTTCGAGATTATATACACAGTTACCTGAATGAAGTAGGTTCACAGTAATTTTACATTTATTTTCTTGAGCATATAAATGTTTTCTTGCAATACCCGTACTTCATATTTATTAGGATCATATATCATTGTGAGGGCTTTTGAACTATATTTGCCAGAAGAATAATGAGAGTCTTGGTTATTTTATCATATGCTGGTACAAAAGTAATACCTTGTCATTGCCCAAATTCTTCTGGAAGCATGCCTCTTCTTATGTGTGAAAGGTAATCAGTTGGAGTGTTGGAGACCATCCAAAACTACTGGCATCTATGTCACTTAAGTTCAGCAAGGCCGTTTTGACTTTAGCTCTTCAAGAGAGAAGCTAATAACTTACATGTTATATTTACTGTGTAAGATCTTTAATATATTATGCAAAATTTTTCACACTTTAAAAATTCTGGTGAAAGCACAAAATTTACCCCAAGTGTAACCTTTTCTTAAAATTGGGACATAAATTTCACCTTATGGCAGAAAACATAACTCTAAGCTATTGAGAATCACCTATTTATTTAAACAAAAGGTCTTTACTTCCATTTTAGTACCATTTATTAGTAGTACATATGTGCATATGTACCCACACACATAATGTGTATACATGCATTTATGTGTATGAGTGTGTATATATGAGTATACACAGTAGTTTGCAAAGTGTTATTCCTGACCTACGATTATCATCATCACCTGGGAACCTGTTAGACCCACAGATTCTTGGGCCGCACCCAGATTTACTGAATCAGAAACTCTAAGGGTGGAACCCAGTAATCTACAGATTAACAAGTCCTCCAGATGGTTCTAATACATGAAAACATGCTAAAGTTTTCAATGACCCACTGTGTTACATCATTAAAAGATGTTTCTAGCAACATTAATATATTTTCGTTATTCGCTTGGTTCCTAGAGTCTAATTAGAATACAAATTATTTATGCCTGCTTGTTAATCTTGTTAGGCCCACAAATAGGAAATTCTGTTCCAAAGTCAGAAATTGGCAAATCTACTGGAGCATAGAACCAGACCTAAAATGTCACAATGATAGCAATTATGACTACTCATAAAAAGTAAAATTATGGCCACCCAAAAAATCTTAACAGTATAGCTACACATTACATATCAATGGAGAAAATACCTTTGATCCAGAACACTTCTTATTTGGTGTTATTTATTTTACAAAAAAATCTGAAAGGACAATACGATAGGTTTATAATTGGCTTAGTTTTCCATTGTTTCTTGTTTCTATAAACATGACTTGGAGAGCTTTCACATAAAGATTGTTTTCCAAAAAAGAGAATCAGAATAATATACTTGCCTTCTAAATATATATATATATCTATGTGTGTATATATATATACAGTTGTACTCTATATGGTGATTAATATTAGGATTAGCTATTTATACTTCTGATAAACCATATTTTCAAGCTAATGCCTACTGTGTTCAGGATGTCAGAAGTTACATATTCAGCCACCTGGTGTTAACAGATTATTAAGCTCTTTGTTTTTAGAATAAAAATCTCCATATTAGCCCATAATTTGTTTCTTTAAAAGTTATTACTCATATTCACACATCTTTATAGTTAAAGATCAAGCAAGAGTGAAATTTTTCCATTTTATTGAGGTATAATTGAAAAGTAAAAATTTTTATGTACTCAAGATATACAGTGTGACTTAGTAATGTATACTTGAAATTTGCTAATAGATAAGTATTCTCACCAGTCAATATTTTAGCATAAAAGAACAAAAATTTTATGAATTATATAGTGACATTTGCATTGTACTGTAAGCCAGTGAGTGTATCTTCTTTTAATATATTTTTCCTAATGATAGTCAATAGTTGACCAATAAATATGAAATTAAATTTCATGAATATGTTTGGTTTTCCATGCTTTACTTTTTACAGGCAAGTCTCAAGGCTCAGCCAATGTGTTCTTGGGCTGATACATTTAATCAAGTCATAGGGGTCTATTTAATAATTAAAAATGATTATTTTCACAAAAATCAAAGTGATTTAATAATTTAATGTTCTAATTGTTTTTTTCTACTTTGAATATAAACAGACTTTAGACAGTTTCATACATAGATTCATTATTCTTCAGAACTTACATGATTTTGCTCATAATGATCATTTCCCAATGAATTTAAGAAGCTATTGAATAACACATGTAGAGGCTTGTGAAGACCCATAACCAGACTTTCCTTCCATCCAGATGACCCAGACTTGGCCTGAGTGGTACAGCAGAGTAGTATCTCCTGCTCAGGATCCAAAGTACTTGACTCTAGCAGTCTAGTCCTTACTACTCACAGGGATTGCCATTCTTCTATGCCCATGGAGACCTAGATGCCATCAAAACTTACATGTGCTTTTTTTTTTTTTTTTTTTGGTCTTTTTGTTTTTTTCCTTTTTTTGGAGAACAGGGTCTTGCTATATCACCCAGGCAGGTCTTGAACTCCTGGGCCCAAGCTATCCTCCCGCCTCTGCCTCCCTAAGGCTGTGATTACAGGCACGAGCCACAGTGCCCAGCCCAAAACTTATATAATAGCCAACTTTACCCTAAGCAAAGATACTTATATACTAATTGATACATTCATGTTGCCCACTAAGAAAAAAACAAATCCCAGTAAGAGTTACACAAAAAATTAAAGATTGAAATTATTTGTTAAGTTTTGACATCAGAATGGTTTATTTAAGGAGAGGGAACGTAAAACCCTCAATCAAAATGGTTGTTATAGTTGTGTTCTCCGTAATGGCTGCATGACATTGAATGCAGTTAACATAAATCACCTGCTCCTTTTTCTAGGCGAGAAAAAGTAAACAAAACCCTGTTGCAGGCATTTGTCTTAAGTAAGGGCAAACCAACCTTTGTGGAAACCACAGAGAATGTCCAAGTGTCAATAACATTGTATGAATTCTAAATAGAGAGAGATTGCAAGGATGTCTCTCTAGTACCTCACCCAACTGGTTATTGCTTACTAATTGAATAAGAAAGTAGTCTTAATTATATATAAATTGGAAAGCCTTCAGAACAGCAGATCCACAATTCAAATCTGTTCTGGCCAACTTATTGGTAATTAAGCTAAGTCAAAGAAAAGTCATTCCAATAAAATAAAGTTGAACTCACAAACTCAGTATATAATTGTCAGTGGAACAATAATGCCTTATATTAGATGCATCATTCGTAGATGAATATGTTTGACATTTTTAATCTAATTACAAAAGAATTATAGGAATAAACACAAATCTCTGTGGTAATAATGCCTTGTATTATCAGTTTCCAGATTATCTAGACAAAACTTACCTTTCAGAGTAATCTCACTGGTTCTGATGCAAATTACCATGAGTTTTGGTGTTAGAGAGTACCTCAGTCATAATAATTTATGACTTATAATGTTCTTATTATGACAAAATCATACCCCACAAAATGAAATGTATTCATTTGCTGTTTCCCTATTTAACTAACTCTGAACTTTTTTTCCTACTTTAAAAATCAATATTAAAGTACCAGTCATGTTTAGCTGCAGAAAATTATGTGTGAAGAAAATCGCACTTTAAAAAGTGAACATAGCCTGGCACAGTGGCTCATGCCTGTAATGCCAACATTTTGGGAGGCCGAGGTGGGCAGATCACCTGAGGTCATGAGCTTGAGATCAGTCTGGCCAACCCGGTGAAACCCCATCTCTACTAAAAATACAAAACTTAGCTGGGCATGCTGGTACATGCCTGTAATCCCAGGAACTCAGGAGGCTGAGGTGGAGAATCACTTGAATTGAGGAGGCTGCAGTGAGCCAAGATCGTGCCACTGCACTCCAGCCTGGGTAACACAGCAAGACTCCATCTCAAAAAAAAAGAAAAAGGTGAAGGTGGCCAGGCACAGTGGCTCAGGCCTATAGTCCCAGCACTTTGGGAGGCTGAGATGTGAAGATCACTGAAGGCCAGGGGTTCAAGAGCAGCCTAGGCTACATGGCAAGACCTTGTCTCTACAAAAAAATTTAAAAGTTAGCCAAGTGTGGTGGCACATACCTGTGGTCCCAGCTACTCAGGAGGCTAAGGTGGCAGGATTGCTTCAGCCTGGGAGGTCAAAGCTGCAATAAGCAATGATCACACTACTGTTTTCCAGCCTGGGTAACAGAGTGAGACCCTATCTTAATCAATCAATGTTAACATAAGGGAAACTTGATAGATTAATATTTTAAGTGCCACAGTAAAATATTGTTAGGTTTTGTTGTTTTGAACATCATTATAGAAACAATAACATGGTATTCTATTTTTGATACATAATACACCAAATTTTAATGTATTGTTTTAAGAAAAAAAAAAGTAAATACTTGTTTTACTGTCCCATCTATGGAAGCTTAATGCCAGAATTTGGTACTTCACATCCCAAGGGAATTTCAAAAGAAAGGGCAAAATTCATACCAACATTTAGATGTACACAAATTTTTACCCAATAGTACATGTAAATGAATTTTGTAATTCACTGAAATACTGAAAATGTGAACTGCTTTTACCGATAATAGGATTAATTCTCTTCCTCCACACAACTGCCCCCTAAAATTAATGCATTTTATAAAATGTATTTTTCAGTATTAAAGGAAAGCCCCCTCAATTAAAAAAAAGTAAAACTAAGAATTTCTTCATATTAAAAACTTACATAGGTACATATTTTATTTTTGCTATAGGTTATTCAAAAGGTAAATTGTGTGCCATTAGTAATGTTTTGAGGGGAAAGCAAATTTGTTCTCTGATAGTCACAACATTTTGATCTACTCATAGTAATTGTCGTTTGAATAGCAATAGCCAAAGTCTGACATTCCATTTACTCCCCAGAAATACACCAAGAAGATGATTGGCATGGGCAGCCACATGAACCTGTCAGTGGACTCCCAGATCATTTTTGAAATGCTAACTGATTTTATGTCTATTTACATACATATAAACTAAGTTATCTAAGCAAATTTTATCTTCTTTCTTCAGAAAACCTACAGGGACTTCCGATTGCAGGGTGTGTTGGAAGGAACACTGAACAGTAAGACTTATGATACTGTGCACAGACGCTTAACAGTAGAGGAGGCCACAGCCTCTGTTTCAGAAGGAGGGGGACTTCAGGGCATTACTATGAAAGACAGTGATGAAGAAGAAGAAGGCTGATAACACACAGCTTTGCAGAAGGAAGAAAGACCTTGGTTGACATTATTTTTTATTTTTATTTTTTAACCTTGTCCTTGTAATTACATTCGTTGCTTGTTTAGGCCAAATAAAAATGCTTGTATTTCTTTAAAAAGTAAAACTGAATGTAGAGTACAAGGGGAAATGCCAAGATTTTTGTTTTGTTTTGTTTGGAGAAGAGCATCCTCTTTTGCGTAGCTTGACCTAAAAATGAACCTTGGCTCTGCTTATGATTGGAATATGAACTTTTTTTAAAAAGAAGATTTGAGTATTTTTCTGTAATCACATCAAAATGATGTTTTCTGTGTAAAATGAGATACACATTTCTCATAATGCAGCATTGTGAGAAGTCACTTCCAATCAGTGCACCAACTCTATCATATCTTATTAAAATGTTGTGTACCTTACAGAGTATAATTTATGTGCCAGGTTTGTTTTGTACTTAACTTGCCATTGTTGTGATGTATATAAAATGTTTAATCTTGGTTCTTAGTACTTTGAATTGGCCTACAAGTATATTCCTGGGCTGAAAGGATTGCCAAACCCAAATATAGACTAGATTATCCAATGGGTTTGTGTCTTTGTTCCATTCTCAACATTTCTTCTTTCAACTATAAGTAATCCCCAGGTGTGGGGTAGCAAGTGTGCTTCTGTCAGGATACCATATTCTCCTAAGTATAACAGCTTGCAGGCAATAAAAATCTATTTGGTCATAACTACTTCTGTGTTTATTAGAATTGTATAGAGTAAATGCAGTAAAAGATGTTTGCAGTGTTTCAAACATCCCAACTATCTGACTCTGTGTTTTTGTTTCTTGTATTTTTTGTAATATTTTATTTTTAATCAAATGAGTAAAAAGATAGTAACACTGTACTTTGTACCTAATAGGCACACACATTGTTAAAAGAATTACTATGACAGCTTATTTCCATAGCAGAGGAAATGTATATTTCATACTCACGTATTATTAGTTAATATTAGTAATCAATGTTAACTAATAATTAGTAATATTAGTAATGTTAACTAGTATTTGGCATTAGTAGTGGTTGTTCCCGCAAAATATTTCCTTGCTAGGATTTTGAGAGATAATTGTATTATGTTTTGTAAGTTCTCTATGAATTATTTTTGTAACATTTCCTAAAATATATTGGCAGATTGTGCTACTGCATGTATTAATAAGTAATTTGTAAATGAAGTCAGTTAATGCAAAATAAGTGGAAGTATCCCTGAATTTATGAAGATGTTTGTTCTGAAACTTTAGAAATGAAGCAACGTGGACCTCCAGATTTGTTCTCCCATGGTGTAATAAGTGGTCACTAGGTACCCAGACTAGGCTTAAAAATCTGTTTAATCCACAGTTACTATTTAGCATTGTTTTGGTTCATTTTCTGGGCTCTAGAGGGAAGATAACAAACATGAGGAAATTTTTTCCTTTTTCCTGGATTAGAGACTCTACCAACTAATATTTCTGAAAGGCTGTTTGTGAATGTTCTCCCTCCTTTTTTTTAATCCACACACCGAATACCCTTTTCACCAAACCCTCAAATGTGCAGTTACACTATCCCAAACTCTCCAATGGCACCCTCTTCGAGCTTGCTGTTCCACCACAGACTGCTCTGTGCTTGGTAATTACCCACCCTTCTTTTTCTTTCAATAAAATGTCCATTTCCTTGATAAAATTCATCTCCAAATAATGGATCTATTTTGTCCTGAAGTGTGACTAACTGATGACCTCAACTGTATTAAAAGTCTTCCTTTTTTAAAGGAACGTGTATTTACTCTAAGAAATAATAGCTGACAGAATTCAGAAATGAAGAACAGATGGTACAGGGGAAGGTATTTGGGGCCTGGAGGTTCTTGCTGCTGACCTGGCCTGTTTAACCCACCCACTGGCCCACTTGGCTGGTCAGCCCCTTTGAGGTTCTTTCCAGATTTTTATGTTCTCTGCTCCTTCCCTTCTACACCCAGGAGATTTCTAAAAGCTCATCCCTACTCTTCACTCCCAGTAGCCTCCAAAGCAAAGGCAATAGCAGTCAGAGGCAGGTAGTGGAGCTACTGGCATCCTTATGAGAAATTCCAGGACCAACCTTTCAGCCATAAAAAGATGTATGAAAAAAAAATCATAAAGTATCTGAAAAAGAATGAAAAGTGGTCTTTAAGTTTTTGCCCCAAACTAACTGCAAATTGCAACTACTTGCAAAGTGCTTGAAATTACTTAATTGTTCATTGTTGTGTATAACTACTAGGATGAACACCCAAGCATCTGTCTATTAAAGGATGTCTTCTGTGGTGTTATTCTTCTTAAAGTATTATTTTTTAAGAAAGTGAATTTAGTCAAAAGCCTAACAGCTCTTGCAAAATTTTCTAAGCAAAATTTAATTTTAACTAAAAAGAAATAGCTATACCAGTCTAAATGATTTGGGAGAAGGACAAACAGGTACATTCTTTGGACAATGTGCTTAGCGTTACAGGCTATAGTAACTAACACCGTCTAACATCCAACGGGAATCGGTTTGTTAAATTATACGTCTAGAAGGAAAATTTCTTCAAACACTTGGGAGAAAATAATAATGCCTATTCCCGGAAAAGGAAAGAACCAAGTAGAGCTTAACGTAAACCTCTGGGCTCCATTAGTGGGTCGTTCTTGAATTCACTGATTTTTCCACTTGAATTCCCTTTAGTCCTTGCTCATTCATTGTCCCTTTCTTAGGAGAAGGGAGTTCCCGCTTCTTTTGCAGTAAACGCCTGTTCAAAGCGTCTACGTGTTGCCATCCCGCCACCCCGGGTCACAGCCTGGCCTGGCCTGGCCTTGCGCCGCCCTCCGCCCACAGCGACCGGCAGTGAGAGGGTCCACTCTCTCCTTGAAGCTGCGCTTGAGTGGGAAAGAAGTTCACTCAGTCGCTCTCAGAGATCCCCGAAGCCCCTTTGCACTGCGGCGGTCTGCCTCCAGAGAGGGGCTGGGGACAGCGAGCGTGGGGACCGAGCGCGCGGCGAGTTCACAGGACCCCCCGGGCCCCCGAGCGCGGACCTGGCCTTCCGATCCCCGCCAGCTTGCGTGGAAGGACCTGCGGGGGCAGATTAGTGCAAGAGCTTGGTGGCTTTTATTTCTTATTCCCAAAACAGAAAATGTAAATTTCCCGGTCCGGGTCCTTAAAGGGAGGTGATAGATCGATGTTCCGGAGAGATGTTCACGCGCGACTGGCTGCGGGACATCTGCGCGCAGGGGTAGCAGCCCAGCCGGCCAGCTTTCGCTCTGCGCCTCCGGTCCCTCAGCAACTCCAAGCCCCCGCCACGGCCCAGCGCCATCCACCCCACTTTTGTGCAGAAGCTGGAGGCCTGGCGTATGGGATTTCCTGGAGTTCGGTGCTCATCCAGTCTTTACATAGAGTTCCCCCCACGACCCACACCGCTACCCTGTCTCCTTACTATTCAGGGAAATTAAATGGCTAATGCGCCTCCTTTTCCCTTCAAGTCCTGCTCGCAGTAACCTTGGAGGAAGACCCGCGACCCATCCTCCCCCAGCCCCCCTACCCCCGACTTTGCTGCAGATGGAGTCGCGTCCACAGGCCTGGGCAGCCAGCAGTCGTGGACCAGGTTGAGAGCAGCGACGCGCGCGAGGCGCGTGGCTGAACAGGTGCCCCAGCAGGAGCTCAGGGCAAGCCTTTCTCTGGGAAACTCCAGCTTCTGATGGAAGACGAGATGCAGGGCTGCCTTAAGCTGTCCTCCTTTGTGACATTGAGTAAGATATTAAGAGAGTAGAGGCGGGAGCAAAGCTCTGAACCTGGGTTCTCTGGTTGACCAGAGAGTCAACCGCTCATTTGCTTTCAGGGAGTAGTCACTGGAGTGCGAGCATGCGCCGCAGAGAAATGAGGGGGTAAGGGAAGAATTTGATCTGTTTCCCAAGTGAAGAAGACCTCCGATTTTACTACCCAGATTTGGATGTACCTGACAGCAGCTTGGACAACCGCAGAGCCCCGAGCCTGCAGTCAGAAAAGTCTGGGTGTGGATACTAATGGCCACATCTCTTCCCCAAATCTGAGCCCTGTGGACTTCGACAAGTTACTTAACCTCTCTGTAAAATGGGGACTTATAAGGAAGGTTGCTGGAAGGATTAGAGACATAATGGTGGCCATTATTAACTATTTCTTTCATTTTTTATTTTTATTTATATTTATTGAGACAGAGTCTCGCTCTATCGCCCAGCCTGGAGTGCAGTGGTGCGATCTCGGCTCACTGCAACCTGCGCCTCCCGAGTTCAAGCAAGTCTCCTGCCTCAGCCTCTCTAGCAGCTGGGATTATAGGCATGCGCTATCATGCCCAGCTAATTTTTGTATTTTCAGTAGAGACAGGGTTTCATCATGTTGGTCAGGATGATCTATATCTCTTGACCTCTTGATCCTCCCCCCTCAGTCTCCCAAAGTGCTGGGATTACAGGCTTGAGCCACCGAGACCGGCCAACTATTTCTTTATGTATGAATGGTTTCGAAAGATCGTGGGAGGCTTGCCTCTGCCAACATGCACCACCAATCTCACCAGCCACTCTCTCTGGGGTTGGCACAGGGTCCTTTTGGACCACACGCAGCTCTGAGGATTTTCAGCCTAGCCCCTGAAGTGTCTGTGAACTGGCAGGAATTGTCCAGTTCTCCAGTTATATACGTGGCCAGCCCAATGGGAGGAGAGAAGGAGACGGGGAGGAGCAAGCCAACTCTGGTCTCAGAAAGGGCCAGCATCGCTAACAGCAGTCCCTGGAGCTGCGGGTTGGGAAAGGAGGTAGCTGGAGATGTGTTACTGAGTCCACTTGGAGATGATATTGGTCAGGGGTTCTGAAATGGGACGGGGATGATCCAGGAGGTGCCAGTCTACAAGCCGGGAATCTCAGGCCTCGGCTGCTGTAGCCAGTAGGTTGAGTTCAAGGGAATTTCAGATGCAAATGGTGTTCATTGGTATTTTCCAAGGCTTAAGAGAAACTAAAACGATGTCCTGCGTCCCAAATCAGGAATGCAACAGAAGGATGCGCTTGCAAACTGCAAGCGGAACCGAGAGAGAAAGGCAGAGGGGGCCACACGCTTCAAGGGTAGCCCCAGCTACTGCAACGAAGCAAAAAGAGAGAGTGAGTGTGCAGGCGCTTAGGGCGGTAGCCAGCATCGACCCCTGCCTGGAATTGCTGTACTGCAAAACTAGGCTCCCAGGAAAACTTGAGCAACGCGGCGGCACAGGGTGGGGTAAGGGTGGGCAAGAGCACGCCCCCGGTCACAACCCAACACGTCAATGGCAAGGGAGACGCGCTCCCCGGCGGCCCCGAGGTCCAGCACGCTGTGGCCTTGGGCAGGTAGGAACTGAGCACTCGGGAAAGGGGAAGAGACGGTGCTTGGCATTAAGCTGGGACTGGTGGTGGAGATCCCAGTCATTTCTTTAAAGTAGCCGGCGGCAGCTTCTGCGTCCTAGACCCAGTGACTCAATATGATGACGTCTTTTATCTCCCTGTACTTAGCAATTTTGCAGGGAGGATAGTTGTATTTGTGTGTGTGTGTGTGTGTGTGTGTGTGTTTTTTTTTAAATAAACGTATT